TCATTAAACTGCTCAATGCGACCCTTGGCAAAATACACCTGAGGACCTACTGGGAATTCACATTTCCATTGTATAAGTATGGTATATAATTAGTTCATTATGTTGTCTGATCACTTTTATCTGAAACTTTAACTTGCAGATGAGGGATGTATAGATTAAAGAACCTCAATCATACTCTGAAAGTATGAGCAATGAAGTCAAACTTACAGTGGCAAAGTAGTGAAGATACCTTTCAAATTATGCAGAATTGGCAGTTCAATGTTGCATGTTAGACTTAGTCTATCCAAACATGGACTGGTAACATGGGTTTTTTCCAAATGTTCCTAGTCATTATTTGTCTATCTGGGCATATCCTTTGGCTTCCATATTTATTCTCCTGGCCCTATTAGTTGCAAGAGACGAACAGGCTGAAATCAAGGGAGGGGTCACCAATTTTCTTTGCTTTGACCATTGGTAGTTCAGATTCTTGTAGAGAGCTTAAGTTTACAATAAATACCTTTATACTAATTTGAACTGCCTGGATTTTCTGATTTCCCTGGTGCTTAACAATAATCTGAACTACTCCTCTTTACCAAAATTTTCACAGACTCCGGAATAACTGAGCCATGGCTCCCAACCCCTGATCTGCAGCTGTAGCAGATGAGCCAGATGTACACTCTATCAGCAGATGCCAAGACAGCATAGAAGATGAGATGAGGAATTTTTTTAAAAAAATTTGATTTATATGCCACCTTCTCCGGAGACTCAGGATGGCTTACAATGCGTTAAGCAATAGCCTTCATACTTTTGTATATTATACCAAAGTCAGTTTATTGCCCCCACAAACTGGGTCCTCATTTTACCTACCTTAGAAAGGATGGAAGGCTGAGTCAACCTTGAGCCTGGTGAGATTCGAACTTACAGTAATTGCAGACAGCTGGTGTTAATCACAATGCTATTAGTCTGCTGAGCTACTAGGCCCGTTTTGCAGCCAGTTTTCTACTACTGATGCAGCAAGTACAGATCCTGACTCAACAATGGATTCTGCTGCAGCCACAACCATCTGCTCTAGCTACCAAGGTGCAACTGCCAGCTCCTGCCACACTCATCCCCAAAACCCTCAGCTGCCTACCACAGAGATTCACTGGCAAGTCTGATAAGATAAAAAAAGGGCCTGGTGGCTCAGCAGACTAAAAGCATTGTGATTAACACCAGCTGTCTGCAATTACTGTAAGTTCGAATCTCACCAGGCTCAAGGTTGACTTAGCCTTCCATCCTTTCTAAGGTAGGTAAAATGAGGACCCAGTTTGTGGGGGCAATAAGCTGACTTTGTATAAATATACAAAAGTATGAAGGCTATTGCTTAACGCATTGTAAGCCGCCCTGAGTCTCCGGAGAAGGGCGGCATATAAATCAATTTTTTTTTAAAAAAGATAGGAACATTCCTAGCCCAGTGCAAAGTATTTATTAGCACCTGACCAGGGGAGTGTCCCAAAAACAGATCGAGGATTTCCTTCATCCTCAGTCTTTTAATCGACTCCACTGCCAAATGGGCACTTCCAGTCATTGAGAGCAATGACCCCATACTGGGCAATTTCCCAAACTTCCTTACTAGATTTAGAGAACATTTTGGAGACCCTATTCAGATAGAAACTGCTGAATAATGTATACACCAGCTGTGCCAGGGCAACAACTCCATGAGAGCACATGTTGAAGATTTCAAGCTCCTTGCAGCAGATCGGGATTGGAATGAGTCAGCCTTAAGAGCACAATTCAAGAGTGGGCTCAACAAGGCCTTAATCACACAACTGATACTCCACGGTCTACAAGACTCTGCTGAGCCACTATTGAGTCTCAACTCACAGAACTTAAAGCATTTTTTGGCATTCCCAGCCAGCTGCTTCCAAAGCTGCCTCCTCCCATCACTACCCCAAGCCTCCCTGTCCCCTTGGATTTGGATGCTGAATAGGAGCGGCCAGAGAGGCCTCTGGAGCAGAAGAATGACAATGGCACAGAGAGCTCACCCTTTGTTTCTACTGCAGAGACCTTGGCCACATGGTTAAGAATTGCCCTAGTAAACCTCTCAGAAGAGGCAACAGACAGCCCAGCAATGTCTCTACTACTCACCACCTGGTCACCAAGCCCCAAGGCCAAGAAAATGAGAAATGCATCCCCCTCCATGAATACACATGGTGGGGGGGGACACCAGGGGTAAAATCCAGCAGATTCTGACAGGTTCTGGAGAATCGGTAGCGGAAATTTTGAGCAGTTCAGAGAACCAGCAAATACCACCTCTGGCTGGCCCCAGAGTGGGGTGGGAATGGAGATTTTGCAATATTCTTCCCCCAGGAGTAGGAAGGGAATGGGGATTTTCAGTATCTTTCCCTAGAGTGGGGTAAGAATGGAGATTTTGCAGTATCCCCTGCCATGCCCACCAAGCCATGCCCACCAAGCCACACCACACCCACTAAGCCACGCCCACAGAACCAGTAGTAAAAAAAATTGGATTTCACCACTGAGGGACCCAAGCAATGAATGAGACTTAATTACTTCCACACTCAGGTAAGTTAATACAATCGGATTCTATCCTGAAACTTCCCAGGGGTCAGGAAACAACCATTCCTGTTTCGATAGATTCTGTGGCAATGGCTCGCCACAATCCAGAAAGATCCCCCACTGTTCCTCTGAAATCTCCATTGCCAGCGGCCAAAATTTAAAAGCAGGCCCCATCACTCACACCACAGGGCCTTTGCAATTGACAATAAATCAATATTGTGAAATGTCAACCCTTTTGGTGGCTGACCACATCGATCTTCTACTGGTGCTGGGGACCACTTGGTTACAACACCATGATCCCACTATTAAGTGGAGGAACTGGTCTATTGCTTTCGACAGCTCTCAATGCCTTTCTCATTGCAATTGGCCCTCTGAACCCCCCTCCCACCTTCCCTCTCTGAAACCTAACAGAAAGATCCCCAATCTGCCAAATAAATGCTGCATGAACGTTGCTGATGTTTTTGGAGAAGAAGAAGTCTCAGTCCTCCCCTGGCACAGACTGTGATTATGCCATAAATGTGGTCCCTGGTGCCAAGATAACAATCAATAGGATTCAAGATGGGCTGGACTTAGTTCTTAGGCACAAAGGGACTCATGACTGATGATGTGTTTGACCCCTCCCTTGGGCTCAGCCAGGTCATCTCCTATAGCACCCACCCCACCATCTTGGCCCCCTCCTCTTCCATAAGTTCTTCTATGCTGCTTTCCCTCTCCTGCATTGTGTCTTCAAAGTCTGAGTTCTCATGGGAACTTGGCACTTAGAACTTGTCTGTGCCTTTGCTCTTCTTCTGCTCTAGGGGCTTGTCTGGCTGGTCCAATTGCATTGGCTCTTCAGTGTCCAGATCCAAGGGGGCAAGGAAGCTATGGGTAGTGATGGGGGGGGGGGAGTTGTTATTAATATAGTATATAGAGACAGAGCAATAATTTGCAAATGGTTTACTAGTTTAAAAAATTGGGGAGGGGCTTGTTTTGAAAAGGGTAGGAATTAATATTGTAGTAATCAGTATTAATCAGTATTCAATTGGAGGGATTAATATTGTAGTAATCAGTATTAATCAGTATTCAATTGGGATAATATGTGTATATGTGTTGTTTTTTAATGCATCTTTTTAATGGCTTAAATGTTTTGTGTTTTGATTTTTTTTGTTTCTTTTGGGTTTTTGGGATTTTTGGGAGTTCTGTATTTTAACTTACTTTTGAATAGAATAAAAAAAATTGAAAAAAGAAAAGGAAACACCAATTGTTGGCTTCCAGTAAAAGTCTGTAGAGATTCTCAGTCATCCAGGTGATGGTTGTCCCAAAGGTGCTTTTTCGGGAGGCAACTAGACTTTCTTGTTTCTTCTTTTGAAGACGTTGACTGGTCATTGAACAACTATATCAAGTCATGAAGGTCTTGGAACAGAAGTTCTACAACCCATAAAGCCCTTCCATTTTCATTATAAGGTATTTTGAAGGAATGTTGCTAAAATTGACTGAAGCAGTTTAAATGAGAACAATTAAACAACACTGAACGTATATGTTACATTTTACTAATTAATTGACACAGACATTTTACCAATCCCATATACTTTGGTGCCAACAAAATAATAAGGAATTTTACATCTGAATTACATCTACATACACATTACATTTAAATTTTGTTTTATGATCAAATGATTGACTTTGACACATTCTTTTGCACTTCAATCATTCTATCTATACTATATGTGCATTTACATAGAAAAACATTCAAACATAAGTTTATTTGTTTTGATTAATAAAAATATTTTTCTTCTATTTAAAAACATTTTGTCCTTTTATTTTTTTAATTTTCATTTATTCTTTTGAGTAACCTATATGTAATTTCAGCTCTTTTCTCACCTGTTCAAAATACTATCAAGCATTCAAAGAGAAATACAACAATGCTTTCTTTTTTGACATGAAAGAAGTCACATTTATACCATTTTTATTTCAACAATATTATCTTGTCTAGCATTCTGCTAAATGCATCCTTTACTTCCTTGTTCCGCAGACTGTAGATGAGTGGATTAAGTGAGGAGATGACAAGAGTATAAAAGACGGATATGATTTTGTCTTTATCCAATGAGAAATTGGAGCCAGGTCGTATATACATGAAGATGATGGTTCCAAAGAAAATGGTCACAGTGGTGAGATGGGAGGCACAGGTAGAGAAGGCTTTATATCTTCCTGGGCAGAGCTGATCTTCAGGATAGCAGTAATAATGGCAATGTAAGAAATCAAAACAGTCAGAATTTTATTTGTTTTGATTAATAAAAAGAATTATTTATCTTTTGGATCTGTGTAAAAACACATTGTCCTTTTTTAAAAAAAAATGTTTTGGTACCTTAGATGCAATTTCAGCTCTTTTCTCGCCTTCGCCAAATACTATCAACCAGTCAATAGCATTTTCTACAGAGAAATACAAATATGGCTTTCTTTTTTTAAATATGAAGAAAGCAATATTTTTATTTCAGCAATGTTATCTTGTCTAGCATTCTGCTAATTGCATCCTTCACTTCCCTATTCCGCAGACTATAGATGAATGGATTAAGTGAGGAGATGATGAGAGTATAAAAGACGGATATAATTTTGTCTTTATCCAATGAGAAATTGGAGCCAGGTCCTACATACATGAAGATGATGGTTCCAAAGAAAATGGTCACAGTGGTGAGATGGGAGGCACAGGTGGAGAAGGCTTTGTATCTTCCCTGGGCAGAGCTGATCTTCAGGATGGCAATAACAATGGCAATGTAGGAGATCAAAACAATCAGAAAAGTTGTCCCTCCGAATGCACGGATAAAAGGAAATTCACAAAGTGAGCAATCTGTGTATCTGAGCAGGACAATGCAAGAAGTGGAGGAACGTCACAGAAGAAATGATTAATAGTATTTGAGTTGCAGAAATTCAAGCTAAAAATAACTATGGTGTGCACTGCTGAATTTACAAAGCCACAAGCATAGGCAGCTGTGACTAAGAGGATGCAAAGCTTTTTTGACATGACAACAAAATACACCAATGGGTAGCAGATTGCTATGAAGCGATCATATGCCATCACAGCCAGAAGGCAAGCTTCAGTGGTCACAAAGATGACAAAAAAGAAGAACTGTGTGGTGCATCCTGTGAAGGAAATGGTCGAATGTTCAATCACAAGGTTGTCAATAATTTAGGAGCAATGGTGGTAGAAAGGCTAATATCTACAATGGAGAGATTTCTAAGAAAAAAATACATTGGGGTGTGAAGCCTAGCCTCAGTTGTGGTTAGAATGATTATCCCAATGTTTCCCACCAGAGTGATGAGATAGGTGAGCAGAAAGAAGATGAAGAGGGGGATCTGAAGCTCTGGGTGGTCCATGAATCCAACAAGGATGAACTCAGTCACAGTGGTTTGATTTGTCTGCATTCTTTATTTCCCTCTGATAGAATAAAAAAGAGAGGGAAAACCTTATAGTAGTATGACTTTTGTTGTCTGAAAATGTCCAAGGGAGACTATGAAATCCACAGACTAAAAAGAGACAGTTTGCTTGGGAAGCATGAGTATTCACTGTTGTGTTATGGGCTATTGATAAATGTTTTCTTTTCAAAATACAACATTGTACTGGACAGCATGCACAATATTTCTGTATGTAGGTGTTTAGTGACAATTAACAAACAATGGATCCATACCTACATTCACCTTCTTGCATATTCCAAGAAAAATTTCTCTCTGTGAAAGAATGTAGACTTCTTTCTAAAATGTATTTTCTGTTAAATTCTAGGACTCTCCAAAGAAGTCAGAATGATCAATCACTCTGTATCAATTTATAATTCTATCCAATGACTTCTGAATTATTGTTTATTCCCCTCTGATAGAATAAAAAAGAGAGGGAAAACCTTATAGCAATATAACTGTTGGATTGTTGGAATGCCCAAGGGAAAGGACTAAGGATGGAGTCATACCTACCATCATCTTGCAAATTTCAGGAGGATTTATCTGCGTGAAAGAAGGTGGTCTTCTTGCTAAAATGTATTTTCTATTGCATTCTAGTACTCTCCGAAGAAGGTCAGAGTGATTCAACACTCTGTGATGAATTGTGGATTTATTTACAGAATACAGAATAACAGACTTGGAAGGATCTTGGAGGTCTTCTAGTCCAATCCACTGCTTGAGCAGAAGCCCCTGTACCATTCCAGACAAATAATACACAGATCATTATTTTATATCAGAACATTTGAATATTCCCACATTTGTCTTCAAAAATCTGATGGAGAATGAGGATGAGGATGAGGGTGAAGATGAGGAAGATATAAACATTTAACAGTATATTTGGGTATTAAAAGTGCTTAATTAACTTACCAGATTAGAAGTCAAGACTGCATTCCAAAGAAGAGAGATGAAACATTGGGATAGAATTGCTAATTTTATAGTTTTTTAAATCGTTTGTTAAAAACCAGGTCCATGAAAATCTCAGTTGACATAATTAACATATCATTAAACTGCTCAATGCGACCCTTGGCAAAATACACCTGAGGACCTACTGGGAATTCACATTTCCATTGTATAAGTATGGTATATAATTAGTTCATTATGTTGTCTGATCACTTTAATCTGAAACTTTAACTTGCAGATGAGGGATGTATAGATTAAAGAACCTTAATCATACTCTGAAAGTATGAGCAATGAAGTCAAACTAACAGTGGCAAAGTAGTCAAAATATCTTTCAAATTATGCAGAATTGGCAGTTCAATGTTGCATGTTAGGCTTAGTCTATCCAAACATGGACTGGTAACATGGGGTTTTTCCAAATGTTCCTAGTCATTATTTGTCTATCTGGGCATATCTGCTTTGGCTTCCATATTTATTCTCCTGGCCCTATTAGTTGCAAGAGACGAACAGGCTGAAATCAAGGGAGGGGTCACCAATTTTCTTTGCTTTGACCATTGGTAGTTCAGATTCTTGTAGAGAGCTTAAGTTTACAATAAATAGCTTTATACTAATTTGAACTGCCTGGATTTTCTGATTTCCCTGGTGCTTAACAATAATCTGAGCTACTCCTCTTTACCAAAATTTTCACAGACTCCGGAATACCTGAGCCATGGCTCCCAACCCTGATCTGCAGCTGTAGCAAATGAGCCAGATGTACACTCTATCAGCAGATGCCAAGACAGCATAGAAGATGAGATGAGGATTTTTTTAAAAAAATTGATTTATATGCCGCCCTTCTCCGGAGACTCAGGGCGGCTTACAATGCATTAAGCAATAGCCTTCATACTTTTGTGTTTTTATACAAAGTCAGCTTATTGCCCCCACAAACTGGGTCCTCATTTTACCTACCTTAGAAAGGATGGAAGGCTGAGTCAACCTTGAGCCTGGTGAGATTCGAACTTACAGTAATTGCAGACAGCTGGTGTTAATCACAATGCTATTAGTCTGCTGAGCTACTAGGCCCGTTTTGCAGCCAGTTTTCTACTACTGATGCAGCAAGTACAGATCCTGACTCAACAATGGATTCTGCTGCAGCCACAACCATCTGCTCTAGCTACCAAGGTGCAACTGCCAGCTCCTGCCACACTCATCCCCAAACCCTCAGCTGCCTACCACAGAGATTCACTGGCAAGTCTGATAAGATAAAAAAAGGGCCTGGTGGCTCAGCAGACTAAAAGCATTGTGATTAACACCAGCTGTCGGCAATTACTGTAAGTTCGAATCTCACCAGGCTCAAGGTTGACTCAGCCTTCCATCCTTTCTAAGGTAGGTAAAATGAGGACCCAGTTTGTGGGGGCAATAAGCTGACTTTGTATAAATATACAAAAGTATGAAGGCTATTGCTTAACGCATTGTAAGCCGCCCTGAGTCTCTGGAGAAGGGCGGCATATAAATCAATTTAAAAAAAAAAAGATAGGAACATTCCTAGCCAGTGCAAAGTATTTATTAGCACCTGACCAGGGGAGTGTCCCAAAAACAGATCGAGGATTTCCTTAATCCTCAGTCTTTTAATCGACTCCACTGCCAAATGGGCACTTCCAGTCATTGAGAGCAATGACCCCATACTGGGCAATTTCCCAAACTTCCTTACTAGATTTAGAGAAGATTTTGGAGACCCTATTCAGATAAAACTGCCGAATAATGTATACACCAGCTGTGCCAGGGCAACAACTCCATGAGAGCACATGTTGAAGATTTCAAGCTCCTTGCAGCAGATCTGGATTGGAATGAGTCAGCCTTAAGAGCACAATTCAAGAGTGGGCTCAACAAGGCCTTAATCACACAACTGATACTCCACGGTCTACAAGACTCTGCTGAGCCACTATTACAGCTGAGTCTCGACTCACAGAACTTAAAGCATTTTTTGGCATTCCCAGCCAGATGCTTCCAAAGCTGCCTCCCCATCACTACCCCAAGCCTCTCCTGTCCCCTTGGATTTGGATGCTGAATAGGAGCGGCCAGAGAGGCCTCTGGAGCAGAAGAATGACAATGGCACAGAGAGCTCACCCTTTGTTTCTACTGCAGAGACCTTGGCCACATGGTTAAGAATTGCCCTAGTAAACCTCTCAGAAGAGGCAACAGACAGCCCAGCAATGTCTCTACTACTCACCACCTGGTCACCAAGCCCCAAGGCAAGGAAATGAGAAATGCATCCCCCTCCATGAATACACATGGGGGGACACCAGAGGTAAAATCCAGCAGGTTCTGACAGGTTCTGGAGAACCGGTAGTGGAAATTTTGAGCAGTTCAGAGAACCAGCAAATACCACCTCTGGCTGGCCCCAGAGTGGGGTGGGAATGGAGATTTTGCAATATTCTTCCCCCAGGAGTAGGAAGGGAATGGGGATTTTCAGTATCCTTCCCCTAGAGTGGGGTGGGAATGGAGATTTTGCAGTATCCCCTGCCATGCCCACCAAGCCATGCCCACCAAGCCACACCACACCCACTAAGCCACGCCCACAGAACCAGTAGTAAAAAAATTTGGATTTTCCACTGAGGGACACCCAAGCAATGAATGAGACTTAATTACTTCCACACTCAGGTAAGTTAATAAAATCGGATTCTATCCTGAAACTTCTCAGGGGTCAGGAAACAACCATTCCTGTTTTGATAGATTCTGTGGCAATGGCTCGCCACAATCCAGAAAGATCCCCCACTGTTCCTCTTAAATCTCCATTGCCAGCGGCCAAAATTTAAAAGCAGGCCCCATCACTCACACCACAGGGTCTTTGCAATTGACAATAAATCAATATTGTGAAATGTCAACCCTTTTGGTGGCTGACCACATCGATCTTCTACTGGTGCTGGGGACCACTTGGTTACAACACCATGATCCCACTATTAAGTGGAGGAACTGGTCTATTGCTTTCGACAGCTCTCAATGCTTTTCTCATTGCAATTGGCCCTCTGAACCCCCTCCCCCCCCCCCCCCTCTCTGAAACCTAACAGAAAGATCCCCAATCTGCCAAATAAATGCATGGACATTGCTGATGTTTTTGGAGAAGAAGAAGTCTCAGTCCTCCCCTGGCACAGACTGTGATTATGCCATAAATGTGGTCCCTGGTGCCAAGATAACAATCAATAGGATTCAAGATGGGCTGGACTTAGTTCTTAGGCACAAAGGGACTCATGACTGATGATGTGTTTGACCCCTCCCTTGGGCTCAGCCAGGTCATCTCCTAGAGCACCACCCCACCATCTTGGCCCCCCTCCTCTTCCATGAGCTCTTCTATGCTGCTTTCCCTCTCCTGCATTGTGTCTTCAAAGTCTGAGTTCTCATGGGAACTTGGCACTTAGAACTTGTCTGTGCCTTTGCTCTTCTTCTGCTCTAGGGGCTTGTCTGGCTGGTCCAATTGCATTGGCTCTTCAGTGTCCAGATCCAAGGGCGCAAGGAAGCTATGGGTAGTGATGGTGGGGGGGGAGTTGTTATTAATATAGTATATAGAGACAGAGCAATAATTTGCAAATGGTTTACTAGTTTAAAAAATTTGGGGAGGGGCTTGTTTTGAAAGGGTAGGAATTAATATTGTAGTAATCAGTATTAATCAGTATTCAATTGGGGGGATTAATATTGTAGTAATCAGTATTAATCAGTATTCAATTGGGGGGATTAATATTGTAGTAATCAGTATTAATCAGTATTCAATTGGGGGATTAATATTGTAGTAATCAGTATTAATCAGTATTCAATTGGGGGGATAATATGTGTATATGTGTTGTTTTTAATGCATCTTTTTAATGGCTTAAATGTTTTGTGTTTTGATTTTTTTTGTTTCTTTTGGGTTTTTGGGATTTTTGGGAGTTCTGTATTTTAACTTACTTTTGAATAGAATAAAAAAAATTGAAAAAGAAAAGGAAACACCAATTGTTGGCTTCCAGTAAAAGTCTGTAGAGATTCTCAGTCATCCGGTGATGGTTGTCGCTTGTCCAAAGGTGCTT